ATCAAACTCTCTCATTAATTTATTACGTAGGCTAAATATCTTGAGCGCAAAGAAACGCTTTAAGCCAGTGAGGGAGATATAGAAATGAATATATAGATTACCTAAAAAGGCTAAATAAAGCCTTTAAGTGGTAAATTAATTATACCAGTTAGAGTAATACTATTATCGCAATTATAGGATAATCTTGGTTCAAGGGGAATTTTACATATGAAAGGAATATTATGTTCTGCAGCAAAATCTCCCCCCCGGATTTTGGCTAAATGTTTGAATGATTTTTTGAGATCCAGGCTCAACTAAATAACTCATATTTTCTATAATGCCTAGAATTGGTAAATTAAATTTTCTATATAAATCAATTGATCTTCCCACATCTATTTGTGCCATTTTTTGAGGCGTAGTGACTATTATTACCCCATCTAATTGATAATTTTCTAAAATACTTAAATGTATATCTCCAGTGCCTGGTGGCATATCAATAATTAGGTAATCTAACCCCTTCCAATCAGTTAAAGATAAAAGTTGATAAATTGTTTTACTAGCCACAGGGCCGCGCCAAATAGCTGCCGAATGATGGTGAATGAGTAATCCAATAGAAATAATTTTAATATTTCTTGATTCTAAAGGCTTCATCTTGTTATTAAGGATCTCTGGTACATCGCTAACGCCGAATATATGGGGAATTGACGGGCCATAAATATCTGCATCCATTATTCCTACTTTATACCCATCCATATTCAATTGTTCTGCGATTAATGCTGTTATAGTGGATTTCCCAACTCCACCTTTACCAGAAGCCACTAATATTATTTTTTTTACGCCTTCAATAAGATGTTTAACTTTAACCTTATTGGAAGTTTTTGTTACATCTCGACTATTAGTTAAAGCTATAGTTATTTTACCAATATTAGGTATTTCCCTCAGTTGATTACTAGCTTTATTTCTGATATGATTAGCCTCTTGTAAATCTTTATTCAGTGTATTAATAGCAAAACCAATATTTGTATCTTTAATTATAATGTTGGAGATAGTATCTATTAATTTTGTATTATCCTTAAAGGTAATATTTGAGATCTTATTTAATATCTCTTGCTTACTTATATTAGTCATT